CTATCATTGTTCCGAAGACTGTCGTTGTTAAATCTCCTCCGTCATCGCCTCGAGCTACCAGGCCCTGGCCACATCCGATTCTTCGCCCTTTTCTTGTGGTATTGTCGCTCATGGCTCTTCCTGCACTCGTCTTCATCCACGCCATATACGCCGCTACCTTTCCTTTCCGCTGGTCTTTCCGCACCCTTCTCCGTCTTTCGGGCATTGAGAAGATTGTTGTTCATTGAAATTCATTGACCCGTTGCGTCATTCTCGTTGCATGTGTAGATATCGTTCTTCGCTATCGTTATTAGCCCCGTTCTCGTATTGTGTATTGCATCGCCTTTCTTTTCTTTCACTGTCATCTTTCCCTGGACCACATTGTATATGTACTCTAGACACACGATGTTTGGGGGGGGGGGGGGTACCGTATTGTAGCACCAGATTATTACCGAGCCGATTGGTCTTCTGCGCTTCGAGTGAGTAATTTAACAAGCGCGAAAGTCTGAGGAAGCCCGACAAGAAACGCGGACGACTTGAGGGCCTACGAATATAGGATATGTATTGTGTATAATATTGATGTGGTAAAGTTGAGGGAAGAGGAAAGAATTCACAGAGTAATGCTTGGATCAAATCAAAATCACCACCAGTTGTCGGCGGAGGTACATTCGCACTGTGATGCAGCAACCATAGATTCAGAATTGAAAACAAAAATTTCGAAATGCAGAGTTGTGACTCACACGTTTTAAGGAGGGGACAGAAGAAAGAGTAACGAGGCCGAAAAAGTTGAATTCACGAACAGCGGTAAGATAGGGAACACCCATCGTCAGTTGCCAGACGTCCTTCTAAGTTATAAGAGTAGCAAAATTCCAATCGGATTCCAATGCAGCATCGCGTTTCATCACGTGCCAGAATCTCATTAACGGCACGTTGCGATGCGGTGGCGTGATCTAGTCGTGCACGAAGCCGAGCGACGATAATGCTATGTGTACATTTCTGTTCTTTTCATCTTACTTCGAGACTCAACAACGGTTCAGTCCAAGGACACCACGTTCTAATTCAGAATCCTCTCTTTCAAGCAGTTTATTAGTCAAACGAATGAGTTAAAGAAATTGGCACAGCATGACAAACAACTACTTTTCCCCCTCTCCCGGTCCCCTCTCCTCATCGAGTACGTAGCACAGCCGTATCAAGGGAGCGGCCGCTTTATCCGAAGATAGAGCATTTCCAAAAAATCTAACATCCAACGTCCTTTTACATCTTTGCTTTCATTCGCTCCATTGTCAAATGACACTGGAACCAAGATGAAAGCAAAAGAAGAAAAAGAAACGATCCCCCGACGACACAAGCCAGTACTGCAATAGCAAGGTCATCGCGTCTCCGTGTTGCAAGCAGAGCACGAAAGAACAAGGGCGGCAAAAATTAGATAACCAAATACGGAGGGCGGTGCCCTCGTAATAGTGGTTAAACTATTAAGAACAGATACTACACTTGATCTAAGCCAAAAGGCCAGAGTGGTAAAGATTCAAAAACCGGACTCGAGGTTTTTATAGGTATATTCCGAGATACGCACAGACCAGCTTAGGGCAGGAAACGGGAACAAAACGCCGCTTATGCGACATTGCCATTCTTGGAAAAGCGCACCGACAATATCAACGGACATGATTACGCTGGTCAAGTGTTGCACAGGTTTGTACAGGTCAAATTATGTATATACTATCGCGGATCATGGATATTTATCCATGGGTTTTAGTATTGAAGACATAAATTCAGGTGTTGAGATTACTCGTATGTATTAGTAGTATGTTGCTACTTATCCTGAGCCGTTCAATCTATCCACGACAAAGGTTACTGTTCAATCCACATATTTTTTGAGAAGTTCATCAAGGTCTGTTCGGCTCTGCTCTCCATCGTCCCAGCTTCTTCCCATCTCATCTGCTAGTCTCTCAAAGTTTTCCCTTACAACCCTGCCCTCTGCACCCTTAATTTTCACCAGCAATTGCTCTACTTCGGTTTTCACCGCGTCGACTGTGAACGTGGGCTTGTAATCTGTATTCTCAAAACGCAACAAAGGCTTCGTGCCATTTTTCCCCGAGCGCACTTCGATGAGTTCAAAAGCAGCTTTGTGCGTGATGCCAAGAACAGCAGCATTTACTGGCTGGTCAGCACCCATCGGCCAGAAGATCCTAAAGTATTGCTTAAGTGGTGAGTAGAACATTAAGACGATATCACTCACAGTGGGACCTTATGTTCGAAGGATTCTTGGATAGAATTCCACCCTCCATGAGTAACGAAGAAACCTGTTGCCTCGTGTTGTAAAATAGCCTCCTGGGGGCTCCATGGGCTCGAAAAACCGATTCCGCTCTCCTTGATTGAAGCTATGAGTTCGGCAGAGAGATTGGTAGCCAAAGGAGATGCATGAGAGAGGATGAATGGTGTCTGATTGGCAATGAGGGTTTCAATGAGGGCCACCAGCTTTGGTTGTTCAGGCGGCCAGAAAATGGTGCCGAAAGATATCTAGTATGTCGACAGTCAGTTGAATCGACACAAATTCAACCAAAGAGGACTCGCATAGATGAGTGACTTGGGACCAAACCTTTTTTTCATGTCGTTTAAGAACTGCAGAACCTTGTTGTCAGATCCCGAGTGGCGTTCTGGTTTTGGCAACGAGAGCGGGGCCAGCGCATAGAATGGTTTTCCACTCCCCGCCAGCCACGTCTTCGTAGCGTTCACCGCTTCCTTCTCGTACACTGAATTGGTCACAGATATTACCCCATCGGCTACACGCATGTATATTTGACCAAAGTTTTCGAGCAAGTTGGCAGGTAACAGACTCTTCAGGTACAGTGAACAATCAAACTTTGGTGGACAGGCGACTCGACGTACAATTTGTGGTTCCCATTCGTGGCTATACATGGGTGGTAAACCAGGAACTTCGATTATTTCATAGGCAGAAGAGACGACGACCTAAATCAAGACTAGAATTAGCAAAGTATCTCTTGAGTTCAAATAACGGGGCCGTACCGGTTGGGAATCAGAAATTGGCGCCTGTGAATATGCAGAAGCTTGAGCTCTTGCTGCCGCCAACCCAGCCTCAGTATCTAACATTGGATCGGCTGTTCCTCCGAGTGATGCAGGACCAAAAAGCCTTAGAAGAGTTCCGCTGGGAGCAGTGAACCACGCAATAATTGGAATTTCGGTGGAGCGTACGGACTCGAATGCATATGGTGCAAAAGGCTGCCATTGGAAAGTAAGCCAGCGTGAAGGTTCAAGCGAGACGACATATAGAGAGGGCACGAACATCGATGATAGCCACTGCAGGGGGTGGGAGTCCGGAAAATACCTTGCCTGACGATTTGCACGCGATGGGCTCAGAGTTACACAGAGCAGAGAACGCAGGAGCAAATTCCTTGAGAGGTTCGAACGGGCTTACTTCTGGTCCCGCTACGTCAATGACACTAAAAACACTGATATGAGCCATTGATTGTCCACTCGAAATCTGCGGACGAACTTGATACGCGATGAAAGCTGTTCATATTCCTCCTTCGACAATTTAGACTTGAGTTCGTTCACGAACTTGGGATGCATCAGTCCAGTTGTAATGAGGGTTATCATAACATCTTGGCGCGATCTGGTAATGAAAACAGCCAAAGTAACTAGAGGCTTATTGTGGCCTGATTTTTATGAGGCAAGGGTTTCCGTTAGTGTGGCAAAAATACTAAGGATGATGGTACCGTACCCCAAGCAGGAATAGCGTGAACAAGGATGTTTTTGGTGATAGTCATACTAGTAGCGAAAGTTGCAGATATGTGGGCTGTTGATGAATCCCTTGGTTTGTATGCTTTTATCTAGGGAACACCCTAGTCGCGGGGTGCCAGCGTCGAGTCATAATGTCATATATTCAATGACCCTCTGAGTACAGCCTGTGTCAGAACCGATTTGAACACACATATATGGACCAATATATCTGATTCGCAAGCAAAACAGAATGATATAGAGCCAAAGTTGCTGACTGGGAACTTCTGACACGCTAGACCGGGTTTAAGTAGCTTACCTACGTATGTCGTCGCCGTTATCCATTTGCTGGCATTTGCGATTGGTGAGGTTTCAATTGAGATAACGAGACGGGTGACCAAGGCTCCCATAGAGTGGGTGTGGGCTGACTGACATTGCAAGCACTGTTGTGTGCACCCAATTGGATCATGATCTCCTTGCACACATATGATAGCAAACACATGTTTCACCATGCTGGCGTTACTTACAAGCTAGCCAGCCGCGGAGATTTGGTCCGCATATAGCGCACTGGGCCTAATGGCATTGTTCTCGTGCCAGATTTTCCACTGATCAACCGGAATATCTAGAGTGAACAGGAAAGATCAAAGGTAAAAGTTCTACATCAATTTAGGCGCTTACAGCCTCAACAGTGGCAAACACGAGGCCCCAGTCATGGATGTAGTTAACAAGATATTATACCACTGGGCTATCGAGTCGGGAGATAAATTTAGACCTGTGAAGGCTTGGCCCAGCACGGGTGGTGTCAGAGGAGGAAAACAATTCTCCAAGGAAACAACACTGTCACATGAAGGTAAGCTAAGCTGGCACGCCTTATCGACGTTAGCGAACTAACACAAGTCCTTGTTTGGGTGAGAAAGTTGAGGGAGAAGGAAAGAATTTACCTGGAATTTATCTGGAATTTACAAAGTAACACTTGAATCAAATCAAAATCACCACCGATTTCGGAGGTAAAAATGAATCCATTGTCGTAAAAACAATGTTTCACAACTCGAAGATTCTCCGAAAAAAAAAAGAGAAGAAGCGTAGAGGTTAAAGGAGAAAGAATACTAAAGCCGAAAAGGTTGAAATCACGAGCAGCGGTATCACTTGGAATGCTCGGTATCCAGTCATTCGAGACGTTCTCGATTAATACGACGTGAAATTGGGGGAATCCGGCCATATAAGGATCGAAAGTGGCGAGATGACATGGGGAGCGATTGAGTTTTCGTGGAGGCCAACCCAAATACGGCGCTATAGCCAAGTGGTTACGGCGACAGATTAGAATCACGAATGTGTGCTCCCTTATCTGTTCCTCTTTGAGGGCGCAGGTTCGAATCCTGCTGGCGTCGGTGTGCATGGATGCTGCAGAGCTTTTTTCTATTCGCTTTGTCTGACTCAATCGAAGACGAACTCACTGTTACCTTTGACAATGTTCGCACGTTGTGGGCATGTTGCACATAGAGATAATCTGTCAATGGGTGTCGTGTCACTTTGGGCCACTTTGTCGCATTTGAGCCAGATGTCACTAACATGTGTGTATAGAACGTGCATAACTGCCAGTATATGCATGTTTTGCGGAAGGTGACCTGGTCACTGGTGAGTCTTTAATCAAGCAGCCATTCATTTCAGTCGATCTTCATGCGGTGATACACGCCGATGTTGGCTGTGTTGGCCCACTGCAGCCTGTTCTTCCGATCGAGAATACACTTTGTACTCGCCACTTGCTCATGTTCCTACTTTCCGGATCTCCTTATTATAACTCCCTTCTCCAACTTCTGCTTTTTATCCATTTCGGACCCTGGTCGAGCTCGAGCTTCCACCGCTCCATTATACCCTTTTCATTTTTTTATTTTGTATTACGGTAACGGTAAGCGTTCTGCAGATCTTCGAATCCTCCTCAGAGTTCCAACTATCGTTCCAGCCAGCAATTCGAGTTACCCACGCGCAATAATGGCCATGAAATCACGAGTAGCGACTCTTCTATCATTAAAGAACAAGGGATCCAAAGCCAGTATCAAAAAGTCTAGCATTGACGAGCTTCGTTCCGAAAAGGACGATCTGGAATCTCGGTTCGATAAACTCCAGGAAGAATGTACTACGCATCAGCAGACCGCCGAGGATGCTCAGGCCGCGAAGAATCAGGCCGAGGTGGAAAAGAGGATCGCAGTGGAGGAGGCAAGGACGGCGAAGGAAGAGAGTAGAGTAGCCAAGGAAGAGCTCGAGAAAGCTCAATCGGGGGCACATAACGCGATCGAGGAGAAAACTAAAGCTGATGAGGAGAAGGAAGCGGCACTTCGCGATGCTGCAGACCAAATCGAGGCGGCCAAACGACAGGCTAGTGATGCAGAAGCTTCCCTCGCTGCTGCTACGCGCGAGGCGGAGGATCAGGTGAAACGAGCTCTAGAAGCTCAGCGTGTTGCGGAGCAGAATGCTATTGATGAGAAGGCGAAGAGGGAGGAGGCGGAAACGGCAAAGGTTACTATCGAGCAGGAACTCGAACGGAAAGTAGCTGATGCTCTCGAGTCCCAGCGATTCGCTGAGGCTGAGAGGGATACCGCGCTCAAAGACGTAGAAGATGCTGCTGCTGCCCGTGGAGAGGCAGAGAGGAACGCTTTGGAGGAACAACGTGTTCGGGAAGTAGCCGAGGCCAAGTCTTTGGAAGCACAGAGTGTTGCAGAGGCGAAAGTTCTGGAGAGTCAAGAAGCCATGTTGGCATGGGAGGAGGCTCGTATTCAGTTCGCTCATATGGAACAATCGAAATTGGACGCGGAACACAATGCCGCATTGGAGAAAGCCGCTCGGGAACAGGCAGAGGTCGACATGCGTCTAGCAGAAATCGTGTCCCGAGACCTCGCTGATCAGGTTCGCGATCTACGCGGTGAGAAGGAGATGTTACTGGATAAACTGCAGAACTTCGAGGAGTCATTCGTTCGTACTCAAGAGGAACTAGTTGCGGCCCAGACTGAACTTGCTAACGCCGCCGAGTCCAGGGAAACCATCGAGCTGGAATCCGAGCGCCGTGTCGAAGAGCTCACAGTGTTAGTCTCGGAATGGCGTGATCGAGCTGAAGATGCGCGTACGATGAAGGAGGACTTTGAACGCGCAGCGGAGAAAGCTCGGGATGCGCAGTACGATGCTCAGAGGCAGGCTGAGGAGTATCGGAGAGCGAAGGAGAAAGCAGAGACGGAGAAACGCAACGCAGAAAAGCTCGCTCAGAGGCTAGAGGCCCAGGCCAAGAAAGATCGGGAGGAGAGCGGACTGAGGCAGGAGGAGGCGGAGAGGAATGCGAAGAGGGCGCTGGAGTCGTTGGACGATGCGCAAGTAAAGTGGACGCAGGGCGTTCACCCGACGAGCTCTCCTTCGGAAAGTCAAATCGATGCCATTAGGAAGACGAGGCAGTTCCGTGAAGGTGCTTTCCATGTTGCAGTTGCTGGTCTTACAGGTATGTTCTGCGATCCCCTTGACTAATCTCCAGCTAACCCGTCCCAGGAACCGGAAAATCATCCCTCATCAACGCCCTCATGGGTATCATAAACGGCACTCCGGAATCCATTCCCACCGGAACCCAATCTTACACCAAAGCTGTCGGTCGTTACATCGACGCCCGTCGAAACTACCCCCACATCTGGTATGACGTTCCTGGAGCGGGAACACCCTCCTCTCCCACATGGAACTACTTCAACTCGCAAGCGATCTATGTATTCGACGCTGTCATCGTCCTATGGGACAACCGCCTCTCCGAAATCGACATCTCCGTCCTAAACTCCTGCCTCCGTCTCAAAATCCCCACATTCATCGTACGCTCCAAATCCGATACCCACGTTATGAATATCGAGGACCGGATGAGGGACATCATCGATGTTGACCCAACACTAACCAACAAGGATCGTAAATCCCGGTATTCGGTAATACCGTTCTCTGCTCGCGCAGAGTATATTTCAGAGACGAGGCAGAGTGTGGATATCGCGTTGAATGGGGCGGGGTTGCCTTCGATGAAGGTTTATATGGTTTCGAACAAGTCCATTCAGAAAATCGTTCAAGGCGACAAAAACATGAGGAATGTAAGGATTATTGACGAGTTTGATTTGTTAAACGATATATGGGCTCTGCGTAGAGCGATAGCGAGATCGAAATCTCCGGCGTTGAATAGGGTGAACGGGTCTCCGAGGCTGAAGAATATGAGGGCGAATACTTCACCGCTTGTCTGAGGGAGTTGGCCGGATTTTGGGATGGGGTGCAGGTCGCTCTTCTTTGTGCATTTTACTAAAAACATCCATGCGTTCGTTTCAATTGTCATATGCACTCTTTCGTTCTGGACTATGATTATGTTGTATGCAGTATGCAGCTTCTTCATCATTCATTGTATTTCATCAGAATGTAACAAAATGTACAGACGTGAACCTACACATCCTTGAGCCTAACAGAAACAATTGGAAAAGAAATAACGCACAGGAGCAGGAGAAGGTGCTCAGACCTTCGGTTCCATGCCTCATTCAATTACTGTGGGAGGAGGCTTGTGTATCTTGCGTAGGCGTGCACAAATAGCTCGTGTCCACTGACTAGGAGAAAACTGACTCGAGCGTCAAAATTTTCCACACGTGCGCCTGTACTTAGCGCCCACAGAAATCAACCATCATCGACATCGTTGATTCAACTTCAAGGTGGATCCGGTGAGCTCGCACTGACTCGCACTGATACTGTATCGCTCTGTACCCACGCAACAAAAAGACCCACAACATTCGATGGCGTCCGAAGCATCGAAATTTTAACGAGATAAGCTCCAATTGTTCTGCAAGTGGCCAGTACTCAGAATACCCATAACTATGCATCCAAACAATCTTATTCTTCCTTCGAATTCAAGAGCGGACAAACTAGATAGGCTTGGTATTCTGAGACACTCGTCGACTTCTTCTGAACTACCACCCAAGAAATCTTCTTCTACTATCTCTACGTGTGCCGTGTTCGAATTGGACGATCATTCTTGTATTGCAAGTATAAGATATCAGAGGACCTGCGTCAAAAAGATAACCAAACCTTGGGCTTTCGCATTCTCGGATGTCTCACTTTGCTCTAATCGTTTGCGGCGACTAGCACTAGGCGTTTCTCGTTCATCCAGTATTACTCAAAGTGTGGTGAGCTCCTCTCGGATTTGTAGTGATCGTGAAAGTCTGCTTCCTAAGTAACACAGCCATCAAGCCAGCAGATAAACAAGATCTACGTAGTTAACAGCCATGTTCTGTCTGTCCAACACCGACACTGTTTTTTTCCATCCTCTCGCTATTCCAGTTCTTGATTGGAATCAGTTTTCCTGTTCAAACAGTAATGCTCATCAATGTCAAAGCTCACTGAGTACTGAACATGTCAAACTGAGCCTATGCGCTTTGATCAAACACTGCTAATGCTATATATAGAACGTCAAGGCTCTGCCACTGGGATGAATCCATGGTGAAATGGAAGTTGGTTGATGCATCAAAAGGATCAAAGCTGACACTCGAGGCAAAATTTGGATCTGCAACGTATAATGCGTTTGTCCTCCCAACGAAGAGACGTGTAGTCGTCGAGCTCAATACCCGATATTGAATGGCGTTCAAATGCTAGACTTACTCATGATTCCTGCGGACCAAGAAATCATTAGTTGGGGGTAAAGAATTAATTTTCTCGTTACTTGTACTCTTGTCAAGTCTGCAGCGATCATGGAAGTCTATCATCTATGCATACCTCCCGAGATCCATCTGCAAAACCTGGGTTTTGATCAGAGCAGGTCTATTCAGTTACTATACAGTCCATAGCTTCAAATGCAAAGCCCATCACTCTGTAGCACTCAGGGCTGCTCCTGAGGGCTGCTCTGGCTGCTCAGACTCTGGGCGCTCCATGGCAATTCATAGCAGTCCATAGTTCAACCTATGTTTTGTAGATGAGTCCGCATAACTGGGCATAATGGGCATCAGATCAAGTACCTTTTCCAACACAAGCCTTGTGTTACCACGGAGCAGCGATGGTCGCTATTTTTGAATGTGTGTAGTGCCTCATCTCTGTCAACTTTCAAGTGAGAAAAGATTTGATTGATGCTGGTGCAGCCACTGCAAGCTATAAGAGGTGAGTTTCCCCTGTCTGATTTAGACAATAATGTCCTCTAACTTCAGTCAAGCATTTGACAACGCTGTTTCTACAGAGTCTCAACTTTTTTTGTCAATTTTTCTCCCGATTACAGTGAGTGACAAAGAATGCAATTCTAAATCGGCACTAACATTGAGCCCTTCTTGGGTCCTTGGGAAGCTGGAACTACTTCTTTATGGCAAGTGGTAGATATGATGCTCTTGTCGTTCTCTCTCATAAAATAATTTATAGG